GCCAGCCTTCACCCTCATGTGGGTTGATAGACATTCGCATGAGCATGGGTAAACGACGAACTGGCGCCGTGTAGCATACGATCGCATGAGCTCGCCGTGGCGGCGAGATCATGAAGTCGTAAGCAACACAGAAGCGGCGTTAAACGCGAATCTCCGACGGTCGGGCATTCACTTGGAGTAGTTTACGTCGGACGCTCCTCCAAACGAGACTCGTCCAGGACGCGACGCGGACCGATTGCGCAAGCAATGACCTGGAAGCGGCCCGCGCATTAGATCACGACCTAGATTCTGCTATCGTTGGTTAAACAATGGATGGAGATGGATCGGGTTTTAGCCCTCTTGCATCAGATCACAACTTCCCCTGCAATTGACACCCAATCCCACTCCCGCATCCCTCCAACATGTCGTCTGTTTTCAGCCTTGGCCAGCTCGGCCACTCTGCGCACTTCGGCAGAAGCTTGCGCAGCCTGCCTACAGCCAACGCTTCGCCCAGTCTACTGGCACAGACTCCCAAACAAGCAAGCGTGAACAGGCGACACGGAATATCTGATACGACAGTTGTTCTGCTGTACTCTTCGATTGGTAAGTGCCCGAAATGACCCAAGCACACAGCACTGAGACGTGTGCTACATTACCTCGACCAACGCCTCTCCAACTGCTGCCGTTCACGACAAACGTATCCTACCGCTTCCGGGATACCTCCCAAAGACGTGCCAGGCCAGAAAGCCCGGCTGCTTGAACAGGCGTCGCCAGTCTGCCACTGCCCTGGCTGGTCGCTGTGCGGGCGTCGCGCACTGCACGCTGCTGGTCACTTTGCCACTGCGCAAGCGATGGACGAATACCCATCGGTCGGAAGAAGTAGGTAGAAACATGAAGTAGGAAGGCGATGAAAATAGATTGGGTTCCGCCCGCCCCCTAGGGAGGACGGAAAAGGTGAAGCCACTCGATCATTGAAGTAGGAAGGCTCTTAAGGTAGATTGGAATATTGGAATCAAACATTCCGAATTTCAGCGACCGATGGGTAAATGTGTACGACGGGGCACGTGCTGCCGAGGCCGTGCCTCAACGAAACGAAATCCAAATGCGCGGGTCTCCGCAAGAATCTCGACCTAACGCCAGGCTAGCCCTGCCCGCACATCAGCAGAGGGGGCGAGCAGAAAAACGGTGCCAGCTTCCAGGAGTTAGCTGAGGGAACGCTGGGCCACGCAAATCCAGGACGGCTTCTTCCAAACGGCGCGGCCGTAGAGGAGGAGTGGTGACTGCCCATCCCTGCTCGCCTTGCCGCGCCCTGCGAGCAAAGTATCCAGAACGCTTTCCCAAACTGGCCGCCCATGGGCCTGATGCGTCAGAAGACCTTGCTGGAAGCACTGACAGTTCTGATGACGTGTTGAACGCAGGAGGGTGTCAACACATCTTGCACCGACTGCGTTGGTGCGAAGCGGTGTGACAAGGACTCAGGGTGCCAATCTCGCATATTCAAACACCCCCCAGCCTGAGAGCAGCAGCCCCTTCGGCGACAAATCAAGCACGTGTTCGCACAGGAGACTCCTGGACGCCTCCGCACGCCGTCTGGGACCTCTCTGGGGGCCATCCTGGACTGCATTGGAGGCCTCTTGGGGCCGCCGTGCACTAATGTGGCCGGTTGCTGGGGCCCTCTTGGACCGGCTCGAAATCTTCTGAAGCCCTGCTCGAGACATGTTGAGCCGAAAATCCGCAAAGCTTGAAACTGTCAAAAACAACATGGTGTTTGACGATGTTGGTAGTCTCGGGCTTTTACTTTCACCTCTTGGAGGTCTCTTGGGGCCTCTTGTGACACTCGTGGGGCCGCTCCGGCCACCTTGAGACATCCTGGAGGTCTCTTAGGCCGTCCTCAAGGCTACCTGAAGCCAGCTGGGGCCGTCTGGCCACCTTCTTGGAGCTTTCTTGAACCGCCTTGGACGCCCACAGGGGCCCTGGGGTCTCGCGAAAGGAACAAGAAACATGTTGTGTTAGCTCCGTCTTCCTCTTTTGGTTTCGTCCGCCCTTTTCGACGCTAGGTCTGGATTACCCTCTCTACGTTGCCCTATTCTTCTTCTTCTTCCACCACGCCTTCCAAAGTCTGCCCGCTGTCGTCACACGCATCAAAGCGACCACGTTCGAAACAAGTGGGGTGGCAATGCCTGCCCCCCAATAACGATCCAGTAAGTCCCATGCTAGGTGGGCTATTCCAGCCCATAACAATAGAAACTCGACCAAAGCACGTTACCCGAACACGTAGGAGGGAAAACATAAGCTTGACACGCCTAGGTGTTCCAAGATAAACGAGCAGGCAAACAATACAGAAGACAAAACAAATAACGCCCTGATAACCAAATAAATGTGAAACATAATAGAAATTATATCATATTTGAAAACAAAAACCCGTCTGTAGCTTGCACGGATGAGTCGGAATCCGGACAGATGTGCGACGGCGAGCTCATGACAGCGCCAAGGCGGCCGCCGAGCCACACATGTGAACACGCTGCGGAAATTGAGGGTGGTCCCTGCGCAAGCCCGACGCACAGAACGTCACAAAAAAAACTATGCTCATCATCCTGCAGCGCCAAACGCATCACATCGAACAACCGACGGTGCGCGCCGCTCCCGACCTTGAGCGCCCGCTCACAGGCCTGGCCGCAACGTCCAAACACAATCCCTGGACCCCACCCAGGGACCGTCCTGGCAAAGGTTTCGAGCTGCGCCCAGCTGCAGCCACGATGCCTCCCCCCCCAAAAAAAGGCCGACAAATACAAAACACTCAAAACATCCTCGAAGCTCGAACACACACCGGATGAGTGGGGCTTCGCACCACAGTGGAGGCCAGTCCACAAGAAGCCTTCCACTGGAAACCCAACCCTGAGACCCCAGGACGTCCATGGATTCTTGTGGTGTGGGAGCGTCGTGCTCTCCATTGCACAACCGTTGAAGCCCAAGAAACCCAGGGCACCCTGGAGGCAAGCAGGGTGTTTCTTGGCATGGGCCTCCACTGTAGCTCCGCCCAGCCAGCCAGCCAGCCAGCCATCCGCCCTCCCAGACGTCATCGGGGAGGGAGGGAGGGAGGGAGGGAGGAGTGGAGGAGGAGGAGCAGAAGGAGGAGGAGGACGAGGAGCTCCCCCCTTGACATGGTCCTCCACTGTAATTCCCTTCCTGGCCAATGCCGCCGGGCGGCTGGTGCCGAAAGAGCTCCCGCCGACGCAGGGAGCACTCCAGACGCGGGCAGCACCTCCAGCCGCCAGCACACCGAGCCTCGAGCCCGCTGCTGACTGCTCCTCCCAGAAGAAGGCTGCCTCCTCCTCCTCCTCCTCCTCATCATCATCATCATCATCATCATCATCATCATCATCATCATCATCATCATCATTACTATCATCATTATCGGCATGATCATGAGCATGATCATGACCAGCATCATTATCATCATCATCATCATCATCATCATCATCATCATCATCATCATCCTTGCCATCATCATCATCATCATCATCATCAGCAGCAGCAGCATCAGCATCAGTATCATCATCATGAACGTCA